ATGATGATGATGATGATGATGATGATGATGATGATGATGATGATGATGATGATGATGATGATGATGATGATGATGATGATGATGATGATGATGATTATGATGATGATGACGATGCTGATGCTACTGCTGCTGCTGCTGCTGCTGATGATGCAGATGATACCGATGATGATGATGATGATGATGATGATGATGATGATGATGATGATAATGATGATGCTGATGATGCTGATGATGATGAGGATCCGGATGAGGATGAGGATGAGGATGAGGATGAGGATGAGGATGATGATGACGATGATGATGATGATGATGATGATGATGGTGATGAGAATGATGCTGATGCTGATGGATGCTGATGCTGATGCTGATGCTGAGGATGACGATGATGATGACGATGCCGATGACGACGATGACGACGATAATGACGATGATGATGCTATGACGATGCTGATGATGATGATGATGATGATGATGTTGATGCTGATGCTGATGCTGATGACGATGATGCTGATGATGATGCTGATGATGATGATGACGATGATGATGATGTGATGATGATGATGATGATGATGATGATGAGATGGTGATGGTGATGGTGATGATGATGATGATGATGATGATGATGATGATGATGATGATGATGATGATGATGATGATGATGATGATGATGATGATGATGATGAGAGGAGGAGAGGGCAGCGGGAGGAGGAGGAGGAGGAGAGAATTCGGGGCGCTGTCTCTTCAAAACGAGGACCCCAACACAGTACAGGAAAGCACTTGGCCTGACGAACACACTAGTGGCAACTATAGTAGCAGTGGTAGTAGTCTTGTGTGCCAGAGGGTTCGCGTTTAAAGGACCAGGAGGAGGAGGAGGAGAAGGAGGGGGCAGCAGGAGGAGAAGGAGGAAGATGAGGAGGCTGTGCTGAAAATGACATCGTTTTTAGTTACATGAGGTTAACATACGTTTTCAAAAGTTAACATGGGCTACCATAAGTTTACCATGCTCAAACATAAGTTGTCACACGTTGTCATAAGTTGTCATTAATTGTCATGGGTTGCATGTAACCACTTGGTAAACACTTGATATGAGCTCTTGTAATCTTCGTATAAGGCCTTTCAGTTTCTGGTCACTCTTAGTTTGGTTGCATTTAATTTATAGATCCTTACGGGTGTTCTATGATTGGTTGCTCATATTATATCATTGGTTGCGCAGTTGCAAGTCATGTTATAAGCCAAGAAGAGGCAACACCCGCGAAACATCGGACGGGGCTAGGACGAGGATAACTCCGTTCCAGAGCGTTCTGGAACACGTTTAAAGCGTTCTGGAGGAACGCTCTGAGAAGGCCGCGGCGCCCAGGATTTCCTCCAGAGCCGCCAGATCTCAGAGACTCCCGATTCATCCTCTCCCGACTTGATCCTCGTCCTGGCTTCGTCATACCTCAGTTTCCCGCTCCATTTTGGAGCCCCCTGGGGCCCTCTGGGCCTCGTGAGGGAAGCTCCGGAGGCCGTGGGGGCGGAAATCCTGGGGGCATCTTGTGACAGGTGCACTTCTGGCAACGCCCGACCAGCCGCCCGCTGCCGCCCAGGGTTCCAGGAGTGTTCTATGGCAGGCCCCGCCTGTCCTTCCCAGTTGCCGCTCTGCGGCGGTCCCCGAGAGACCCCCACTGTTCAGAGGAGAAAAATGTATTCCCATACCGCTGCCCTTGGCCTCGTTTTCCCCTCTTTGGGCCCCTGGGGAGGCCCTCGTCGCCACCGCTGGAGAGAACCAGTGAAAAAGTTCAATGAGCGTCGCAATAGAATGTCCAAGAACGGCTGAATGCGTATGGTGGTCAAAGGCCCCCCAGGGAAGACCCACCCCCCAGGGAACGACAACAAGGATTTTCTGCGAACGCAAGGGGGGCACCTGTGACAATTATTGCCCAGGCGGTCGGCTGAGACACCATTGGCCGGTGCACCCATTTGCGTCGAGCCTGTGCTCCACGGATATTTGCGCCATTGCTTAAGAGAACACATACATGTTCGCCACTGCTTAAGAGAACACTCCAGGATCTGCGTGGAATTCACACCGTTCCTGCAGAGTATTACCTCGAACTGCGCTCCAGCGATCTTTTCGTCACAGCTTAACAGAACTCGTTTTTCTGCCACCGCTTGTGAGAACAGTCCAGGACGTTGTTCAGGCACTCCAGTGTCATACTTCAGGCCAGGGCCACGGCGACACAGTGGGAGGAAGATTTTGGTGTGGTTGATGGGCTCCCGTTCAGAATGCGCCCCCGGAGAGGTCTGGGGAGTAGCGGCATCGGTGCCGTTTGATGTCCCCAATCTGCTCCCAGAGCAGAGGCCCCACGGGTGTCCCCAAGAGGTTCCCAGGAGGCCTCCAAGAAGGCCCCAGCCCGCCTTCAACAGCCACGGAGGCGGGATGGGCCGTCGCCGCGGCCGCGGCTGCGGCCGCCGTCGAGGCCGTAGCGGCGGCCTCGGCGGCCGCGCCGCGGCGGCACCTGCC